ACATGTTTCTATAGAATCCAGTCACGGTAACAGTGTCATGTGTTAACATGTTTCTATAGAATCCAGTCACGGTAACAGTGTCATGTGTTAACACATGTTTCTATAGAATCCAAACACATGTTTCTATAGGTTCTTCCTGCAACCAGGTAAGAACCACAAGCTGAGATTACGTGAGCACCACCCAAAAACAAACCATCCAAAGGAAATGCCTAACATCCCAACCGCTGTAGATAGGATCACCTGCCAGCACACACTCACCAGAACACCCCTAGACAAATGTCAGCCAATCAGGGGTCCTGAACCTCAAAAACCCCTCACCCCCACCTTTTACTACCATAAAACCCTATTCTAACTGAGCTCGGGGATCTCAGTTTATTCCAATACGTTGGATGTGCGGAGAGACCAAGTTTGAAAACTTGTATAAAATAAAGGTTCTTTGCTTTTACATACAGTACTCGGTCTCCTTGTTGACTTTTGAACTTTGCAGATTTGGGCATAACAGTTTCAATGTCTTCTTTCTTAGAGGAATGTCTTGGAAACATGGATCACCTCCCAGACATTGAGGTACATTGGTTTGTGAGAACTTAAGAATCATCAAAAGCTGTGCTTACTCACAGTGCTGCCTTGCCTTAAAGCTTCAGATCATACTGAAATTTCTTCAGATATATGTATGTATTAGCTTGCACATGTAAAATACCTTTCATGTCTTCTAGAACTTGGACAATGTTCTTCAATATTCTGGTCTTCCCATTTGTAGCCTAAAATACAGTACCAGAAAATGTATATGACATATTACTAGAAATTATGCAAAATTCAAGTCACTATCTTTATTGAACCTAAGAAGTGTAATTATTCAGCCACAGATAAGCCTGCACTTCCAGGTTCTAAAGGCAGGCACATGCAGATGGGTCCTCGGGCACAAAGAGCCATCCCCCCCTACCCTGTGACCCACGTGCACACATGCGTGGTTACATCCACATATGACTCAGCTAAAACCCTTGCGCATGCATGAGTCACCCATCTGCATCATCAGTGTATAACGTAGTCACACCAACCCCCTGTGTGCCTGTGCTAGGCAGCTTTTAAAAGCTGGACACGTCATTTCTCTCTCTCTCTCTCCACACCGATCCCCAGGCCTGTATACCCCCCCCCCAATAAACTCCTAAGCGGGTTTGTTTGTGTTCCGTGTTTCCTTCTCACTCACGCCAGGTAATTTCAAGAACCATGCCTGATTAATTCACCACATTCTTCCTTTTTCACAACTGAAATTCCAGGAGAGAATCAATGATTAAGAAATGCTTGTCCCAGCTTGTGGAAATTCATGAACTCTAGACCGACAGTTGTGGAGCCCGCATGGGAGCGAACTAGGGCCTCTGCATGTGGGTTGCATAGCCTGGTCTGTTTGAGGGGCCCCTGGCAGTGGGACCAGGATCTAACCCTGGTGCATGAGCTAGTTTTTTGGAGCCTATTCCTTATGGTGGTGGGATGCCTTGCTTAGCCTTGATATAGGGGAGAGGGGTTTGGTCCTGCCTCAACTTAATTTGTCAGGCTTTGTTGACTCCCCATGGGAGGCCTTACACTTTTGGAGTAGGAGGGGTTTGGGGGAGTGGGAGGAGAAGTGGGAAGGGAACTGTGGTTGGTATGCAAAATACATTTTAAAAAATTATAAAGGAAAAAAGTGCTTGTCCCCTTATTGTAAAAAAGTGACCAAAAAAATGAACAGTCCTACCTACAGCAGTGAGGTTCTCCCAGGTCTCCAGCATCACATCTTTGTAGAGACTCTTCTGGGAAGGATCCAGCAAAGCCCACTCTTCATGAGTGAAGTTCACAAGCACATCTTCATAGGTCACTGCATCCTAAAACACGCCATATAAGTACACAACAGAAATGGTGAGAACGACTCAGTGTGCACTTCACTGAGAGTATGTTTACATGATGCAGTCACAAAGACATTTTAGAAGAAAACAGAAAAGGAGGAGGACACATCTCGCTTCTGTGCCCACTGAAAGGGACCTGACCAGGCTGTCTGGGGAGGACTGTGAAAGGACAGATTTTAACAGCCCTTTTCTGTGAATCTGTGCTGTCTGGTCCACTGGAGCCAAAGAATCAACCGTAACTAACAAGAAACCAGAACCACTGAAGCAAAGCTTTTGACTGACTGGACAATTGATACTAGTCAGCTCAAGCTCCGAAATCTGCGATGATGAGAAAAGACCAGCATCACTGAGGTGAGATCGGGGCAGGGTTTCCTCAGAGTCGGTACACAGAAGCTGTGCTCCAGAGGTGGCATCTTAGTTAGGGCTCTATTGCCGTGAAGAGCCATCATGAGCAGGGCAACTCTTATAAAGGAAAACATTTAATTGGGTGGTTTACAATTCAGAGATTCAGTTCATTATCACCATGGTGTGGTGTAGGAGGGTCTTATTTCTATGTGTTGCTTTCATTGGTCAAATAAAGAAACTGCCTTGGCTTTTTGATAGGGTAGAATTTAGATAGGTGGAGTAGACCAAACAGAATACTGGGAGAAAGAAAGCAGAATCAGGCAGACGCCATGGTTCTCCTCTCCAAGACGGACGCTGGTTAGACTCATGCAGGTAAGCCACAGTCAAGTGGCAATACACATTAATGGAGATGGGTTAAACGAATATGGAAGAGTTAGCCAATAAGAGGTTGGAACTAATGGGCCAGGCAGTGTTTAAATGAATACAGTTTCTGTGCAATTATTTGGGGTAGAGCTAGCCAGGAGCTGGGCAGTGGGAAGTGGCCCGTGGCTCCTTTTACTACAATGGTGGGAAGCATGGAAGCATGCAGGCATGCAGGCAGACATGGCACTGGAGAAATAGCATGTAGGCATGCAGGCAGACATGACACTGGAGAAATAGCAGAGAGTTCTACATGTTGCAGGCATCAGGAAATAGTCTATGTATCACACTGAGCGAGGCCTGAGTATATATCACATCTCTAAGCCTGCCTCCACAGTGACATACTTACTTCATAAAGGCCATACCTACACCACCAACACCACAGCTCCCAACAGGGTGCTACTGTCTTTCACACCACCACAGTGGCCAAGGTTGCACCTTGCACTGCACTGGCAGGTGAACTTAGGAGTGTTAGAGTCATCCAGGTGGTACTGGTTCTGAAGGCATGAAGGAGTCGTGAAGGGCACCTGAGGCTTGACACAGTGAGAGGCTCTTGGTGAAGATGCAGTCTTAGCAGCAGCTGAAGGCTCAGGATTGAACAGAATTATGCAGGGAAGTTGAGGTTTAGAACCAGAAAGTAAGCCAGGAGAGGCCACTGGTGAAAGTGGAATTGCAGCAAGAAGCCTGAGCACAGTGGAGATACCAGCACCATGAGATGACACCAAGAACGGCAGTGGTGGAGCGCAGGCAGTTGGAGCCCAGAAGACAGGCTGTGTGTGCTGCAGAGGGCAGGGCTGGAGAAGTGACCACAGTCCCTTGGAGGAGCCCAGAAGACTGTGAATCCCACAAGAAATGGACAGTGAGCTATTTACACTGCTGGCATTTGTTTTTGCTTTGTTCAGACTGTGACAATGACCTAGTTCTTCCCGACAACTGGGCTGACGGTGGCTCCACACCTCTCCTGTTCTCCAGATCCAATTTCCCCAGACTCATGTCCAGCTTTGCAGCAGAACACCTGCTGTCTCCCTTTCCTCCCTGACCCCATCCCCAGTGGATCACAAAGCTCTCCAACCTTCCTTCCCCCAATGCATCCCAGTACCCCAGCCTCCAACACCAGCAGACATTCACTGTAATACACCAGCCGAGCAGGCTGGGAAAACAGGTAAATTAACCAATGACGTTCACCTTCCTTCCTCTCCTCCAAACCCAATACCCCAGTCTCGTCTCAACCTCTGCAACAGAACGCCAGCTGCAGATTTCCCATCTGTGCACATCTGCTGTGCAAAGACTTCCCCCTTTAGCCACCCTCTCACACCTGTTGCTTTATTCCAGTCCCCAGTTCCACCAGGTACATCCCATTAAACAACAGACCACTTCTGCCAAGGAAGCAAGTAGGCTGTCTGTTTATCTTACCCTCTCCTTTTGTTCTTCTAGATCCAATCCATGAGTCTCATCCCCAGGCCAATAGCAGACTCTCTAGAGCAGGCTCTTTTCACTGTTTTCCTCCATTCCAAGGAGATGTCATAAGCAGATCCTCATTGTACACACTACTCTGCTCCATGTCAATCCCTTCAGATCCCTAATCTATTCCCATTCCTAAATGTCAGCTCCCAATACTCAGCAACATAGTTTACCTGGGACCACCATTAGCCAAAACTATTAAGTCCAAAGGAAATTTTCTACCAGGCAACACACAGCCATTACACTCCCTGAAAATGCAGAGAAAAAACAGAAGCCAAGAAACAAACACCCACCCAACAAAGACAAACTCAGAAATCTGTCCTAGACCTATAAATATCCCAATCCCAGATGCCTAGATGCCAGCATAAAACACAATCATTAATAGCCAGGGTAATGTCTCCACTAGAGCCCAGCTATCCTACCACAGCAGGCTCTGAATATTACAACATACTTGAAATACAAGGAAAAAGTTTTAAAATTGCCTGTATGAACTATAGAGGTCCTTAAAGAGGAAATTAATAAACCCCTTAAAGAAATCCAGGAAAACACAAATATGGAGTATAAGGAGATGAATAAAAGTGCCATCCTTGGGCTGGTGGTCCTAGGTTCTACAAGAAAGCAGGCTGAGCAAGCCATGAGGAGCAAGTCAGTAAGCAGCACTCTCCATGGCCTCTGCATCAATCAGCTCCTGCCTCCAGGTTCCTGCCCATTTTGTGTTCTTGTCCTCACTTCCCACAAAGATGAACAATGACATGAAAGTGTAAACCAATATACCGTTTCCTCCTTCAACCAGCTTTTTGGTCATGGTGTTTTATCGTAGCAAAAGAAATGCTAACTATGACACTATTGTTCAGGAGACTTGGGATTAATACTATGGATACATACCATCCTGGAGGAAAACATGATAGCCTTTGCAAATGCTGAAATATTAAGATGTAAATAAAGATAGATAGATACACCATGCAGAGTTTGGGTATAGAGTTTATTTAGTGGGTTATGGAGGGGAAAGGAAGAAGAAGGGGGAAAAGGGAGAAGGGGGGAGAAGAGAGAGAGAGGCAGAAGATGCCTCTCCAGAAGAAGGGCAGACAGAGATGGGGGAGGGAAGGAGAGAGAGGGAGGGAGAAAGAGAGAAAGAGAGAGAGGGGGAGGGAGAGAGGACTGGACTAAAGAGGAGGTTGGGTGGCAGACAGGGGAGACTGGAAGTGGGCAGGGATTGTCTCTAAAAGGGACAGGATACCCAGGTGACAGACCAGGCCAGCAGACTACAAAAGGCAGTTCAAGCACAATGGATAAATCCTAGTTCCACTGCCAGTGGCCCCACAGATTGCCTAAGTCACACAACTGTCACCCACAGAGGGCCTAGTCTAGGTCGATATAGGTCACCGTGCTGTCAGTCCAGAGTCAGTGAGCTCCCACTAGCTCGGGTCAACTGTTTCAGGGGGTTTCCCCATCACAGTCTTTACCCCTTGCTCCTGCTATCACTCCTTACTCTGTTCATCTGGTCCCCAGTAATTCAATCTAGCGATTAGCTGGGGCTCTCTGATTCTGCTTCCCACAGTTGCTGGATGAGGTTCTATGATGACAATTAAGACAGTCATCAATCTGATTACAGGAGAAGGCCAGATGAAGCACCTTCTCCACTATTGCTTAGGATCTTAGCCGGAGTCATACTTGTAGATTCCTGGGAATTTCCCTAATGTAGGGTTACTCCCAGCACCTCAGTTTCACTTCTTCCTCCAGGTGCCAGAATGACAGTCTATCTGTCCATTGTGCTTGTGTTGTTATTTGTTCTGCCTTAGACTGACACGGATGGTATGGGATAGACTAAGAGAACTCTCAGTCACCTAACTTTGATTCTGGAAGACTTTCAGGACTTTAGAAATAAGGCAAAGAGAGACAAACTGGAGACTAAAGGGAGAAAATTTACCATCTTTTGCAAGAATAAATGACCAGCATTTGGAACCAGGCAGTCAAAAGAGAGAACCTTTGACCCATATTATCATTTCTAGGACAAAAGACATGATCTTTGGCAAATCTGGACACCCAGACCAGATTCCTTACATAGTCACTTGGGAGGACTTTATAGCACACCCTGCCCCTTGGTTAAAACTCTTTATCTCCACAGGGCTGATTAAGAAAACCATCTTTGCCTTACAGAAAGACAAAAGGCTACATGGCACCTTGCTCTCAAAATAAATGGATGAATAACCAATTGAGAAACAACAAATGAAGTTCTTATTTCTTTCTTGTTTTGAAATTTTTAGGCAGGGGGGTCTCTCTGTGTATCCCTGGCTGTGGTGGAACTCGCTCTGTAGACCTGGCTGGCCTCAAACTCAGAGAGATCTGGTGTAGGAGGTTCTTCTGTTCATGTCTTGCTTTCATTGGTTAATGAATAAAGAAACAGCTCTGGGTCTGATAGGGCAGAACTTAGTTAGGTGGAGAAGACAGACCTGAATGCAGGGAAGAAAGGCAGAGAGAAAGAAGCCATGGATCCTCTGCCTGAAATGGATGCCAGTTAGAATCTCCAATAAGCCACTGCCACGTGGAGATACACTGATTAACGGAGATGGGTTAAACTAATATGTAAGAGTTAGCCAATACGAAGTTAGAGCTAATGGCCAAGCAGTGTTTTAATTAATGCAGTTTCTGTATGGTTATTTTGGGTGTAAGCTAGCCAGGTGGCCAGGATGAACAAAGGGTCTCATCCTCTTGTAACAGAGATCTGCCTGCCTCTGCCTCCTGAGTGCTGGGATTAAAGGCCTGCAGTGCCACCACCAGGAATAAAGTTCTTGATAACTGGAGAACAGAAGTGACTGTGGTGGTTTGAATGCGAATGGCCTCCACATGCCTTTATGACTGAATACTCAGTCATCAGAGAGTGGCACTGTTGGAGAGGGATTAGGAGGTGTGGCTAATCCCTCCTAATAGGCGTGAGCTTGTTGGGGGAAGTGTCTCATTGCAGGTGGACTTTGAGGTCTCAAGGGCCCAAGCATGGCCCAGTGGCCTTCTTGCTGCCTGTGGATCCAATGTAGAACTCTCAAGTACTTTCTCCAGGACCATGTCTGCCTGCCTGTCACCATGTTCCGCGCCATGGTGACAATAAACTAAACCTTTGAAACTATAAGCCAGGCCCAATTAAATGTTTTCCTTTACAACACTTGCCATGGCCAAGGTGTCTCTTCATAGCAACAGAACACTAACACAGATACCAACAGCCAGGGTGTAAAAGACTGAAAAATAAGCTGAAAGAACACTTACCTATACTGACTGAACTAGAGCAGGTCCTTTCCTGGTGGACCTGGATGTATGCATGTATGACCTTCTCTGTGTAAAATGTTAGCTGCTGAGCGCTGTATGCCGACACACAAGCCACAGGCAAACGCCTGTGTCTCAGTCCTCTGCCACGTTTGCACGTACCAATGTGAGAGAGTCGCCCATTGGAAACTTCAGAGGCTGGAGGTAAGCTCCCCAGTGTGTACACCCAGTAATTTGGTTTGCACTCATCATATGCTGTGAATGAACACGGGGAAAGTACACAGAAGTTCACTCACCCTGTGAACTCCTCCAACGGCGGCCCCTGCAGCTCACTGTCTTAAAATTAAACAACCTGAAATCCAGCCATTGCCTAGCCTGCTGACCCCTGCAGTGGACAACAAACTGTTCATACTCTTCTGTTCTCCATGGAGAAGCCATGCTCCAAATGCAAACAATTTTCCTGTTACTGAAATGGACAGCCCGCCCTGTGAGTCAGATGGGTAGATTTAGCACTGTGTGGTGCTACAAACCTTTAATCCAAGAACTGAGCAGCGGATTCAGGGGGACAGCAACGTTAATGGACATTGGGATCCAGGCAACCTTGAGTACACTGAGACCTTAATAAAGAAAAATCTCTTCAATAGTAAGTCTCCAGCTCTGGCTGACACCCCAAGAGGATGGGTCCAGGAACAGATCTGCTAACTCATATACACCACAGGCTTATGTACCCCACATGTGCTGTCAACTCATCTGCCCAGGGTGGCCCCACCCACAGTGGGATGGGCCCTATTATTTCAACCACTAATCAAGAAAACACTCTATAGATTTGTCTACAGGCCAGTGTGACTCTAGCTTGTGGCAAGCTGACCAAATTTAACCAGCAAACTTCCCCTGAGTCATCCCCCAAACCCCAAACACAGAATTGAAGCAAACTTCAACTCTCTTAACACTGGCTTTTCAGCATGTACTTGTGCATACACACACAGAAAAATATTTGAAAATCTGTCAATTTTAGGACCAGAGAGATGGCTCAGCAGTTACTACCACTTGTTTTTATAGAAATCTGGGTTTGGTTCCCAACACTAACATGGTGCACACAATCAACTCTAAATGCTGTTGCAGGGGATCTGATGCCTCCTTCTGTCTTCTGTGGTACCAATCACACAGGAGGTAACATCCATTCATTCAAGGGAAATACTCATATAAATGAAATAAATAGATTTAGCAAGTTAAAAATACATATCCTCATATCTTTCTTATGTCACCATGGATTAAACAGCCAGAAATATAAAGAAATGTAACAAATGTCTGTAGCAAAAGTTGATAACTTCAAAATTAAAAGAATCAAAGAATTCGAACAAAGCAGAGAAATTCCATGATTGTGGACGACAGTAAGTCTCAATATTGTTTCAGTACAGAATTTGAGCTATAAATTCAAAAAAGTTCAATAAAATATCCAGAAAACTGATGACAAAAAGTCATCATGAATAAAAAAAAAACTTATCAGCACAAGATTGAGTACATAGCTCACATAGTGACATCATGTAGCTTCAAAACTTCTCATACAACTACAATAAAGACTACAGTCTGGGAAAGAATAAAGACATCAACAGGCCAGGCGGCCGTGGCGCACTCCTTTAATCCCAGCACTTGGTGAGTTCGAGGCCAGCCTGGTCTAAAGAGCTAGTTCCAGGACAGGCTCCAAAGCTACAGAGAAACCCTGTCTAGAAAAACCGGGGGGAGGGGCGCAAACTTAGAAACAAAATCACAATTAAAACACCGATATTTTAATACATGAGGTCCGGTAATCCAGTAAATCTGGCCTTATTGACACACATGACTGAACCACCCTGGCATCTCCATGCAGATGTGTTCATGTTCATGGCACAGACTTTACATACTGTACAGAATTAACTGCAGATGGATCCTACACCTGAATGTTCAGCGCGAAGTGCAGAACTTCTAGAAGACGCTAGAGGAACCAGGGCTCTGCAAGTTAACAAGTCTGCCTCCCACTGCAGAGATGAACACTGCACATGCGCGGCATGGTGACGTCATCCTCGCGCAGTTTCGACCACCCACCCACCCATCCCCATCCCTGTGTTCTGCGCAGCCGCAGCCTTGTCATTCCGGGGCCACATGACCCGGGAGCTGCAGGAATGCAAGGACCTCTCCGCCTCCGGTTCCCACAGCCCCGGGAGGACTCCACACCGGCTCCCGCGGCTCCTCCCGCGTGGGGACGGCGGCCCTCGCTCACCATGGCGGATTCCGAGCTCGCCCCGCTGTCTCCACAGCTCCCGACAGCGGAGAACACGGAACACGAGACTCTGCCTCAGGCCCGGGGCCTCAGAACCTGTAGCATGGCGGACCGGAAGTGCCCGCCCCATTCTGACGGGCAATCCGGCTGTGAGCCCTGATTGGTTACTGAGGCCTTAGTCACGGGAGCAGCGTCCTTAGGGACAAAGTGTTGTGGAGGAATGCAGCCCAATGGTTCCCAGCCCTGTCTTCCAGCCCAGGCACACAACTGCGCCAGACCTGAAGAGACTGGCGTTGCCGCAGAACTAGGGGCTGGACTGCAAAGTCTTCCCTGAACAATCCCTGCACTCAGTAGGACTCTTTTCTGGGACATTAGTGAGGTTTTGCTAAGAAACTGAGAAAGGACTAAGGAAACTGGCCACTTTCTGGATAGTTATACACTGTGGAAAATGTGCTATTTTCATTTTTGTAAAAAGAAAGCTTGATTTAAAAGACTATGCACCAAAAATCTGCAGTCTCTTAAACTATCCTGTAGAAATGGCCCATCAACGTAAATACAGAATTTTGATGAACTAAACAGGATGGGGTCAAAGTATATTTACCTAATCACTCCATATTTACCTCTTAATATTTTGACTAAATTGTGCTTATTTTTACTGTCCATTTGATATATAAATCTACAGATTTATTTTTCTCTCAGTTCTGCACCATTAGTGAAAAGCCACTTTAATAATACTTATATATACATCACGATCTTAGAGTTTCATTTTCTTTGTGAGAGTCTCACTCTGTAGCCCTTGCTAAACAGGACCTCACTATGCAGACCAGGCTAGCCTAACAGTCATAAAGATCAGTTTCCCTCTGCTGCAGAAAGCTCAGATTAAAGGCCTGCACTACCATGCCCGACTTCTATTCATTCTGCACATTTATTAATGAAATAAACAGAAGCCTGGTATGGCACACAACTGAGCTCTGTCCTGAGGAATTGTACCAGGGAGACCACTGTGAGAGTTAGGCAAGCCTGAGTTATAAGTGAGACCCTTTCTCAAACGGTGAACACGTGCAGCCGCTGCCACCCCAGCATTTTGGTCACTAGTGTCCTGGAGTCCATGTGGGACTATGACACCCTGGCCTTTGCCCCAAGTCCACAGACCACTTTAGACATCTCTGTGTGGAGTCCATGACGGTGGTGATGCAGAGCTCACAGCAGGGACAATGGCAGGAAGAGTCGGAGTCCAGCTGCTCTGCTGCTGTGCTCCACTACTTTGGGGAGGAATTGCATCCCGTGTCCTGCTTGCAGGCCTTCCACTGAGGAGTCCTTAAAGCCATGCTAATATGTGACTGGCATGTTCAGTCTGGCACACTCATTTGTACATGATCCCAGAAACTGCAGGCAGCTGCAGAACGTGGCTGGACACGGAGACGGCCCTGACAGCAAAGACAGGGAGTTCTCTAGCGACTCCTGCTCTTTTTGAGTGTACGTTGAATGAGTGCACTTTGGCTAGCGAGTTTTTCTGTTTAGAAAAGTAAAGCTAAGTAAAACCATCTTCTGAGGGTACTGACTCACCAACTTCAGAAACCCGTAGTACCAGCCGAGAATGCACAGCTGTGCTCTTGCAGAGGACCTGAGTCTGGTTTCAAAGATACAACATGGTTGGTTCACATGCCCGTAATCCCAGCTCTAAGGGGTCTGACCCCTCTTCTCTCCTCTGAGAGAATTAGTCAGGCGGGTATGCAGGAAACAAAGATAAACAAATAAACCTCAACAAAGAACCAAAATAAACCCCATGAGGTAAGGCGCAGGCAGTGTTTTTAAAAAGCGTGCTATGAACAAGTTACATATACTTGCAGTCTAGAAAGCATTTTTCTTGTTTACCTCTCAGCTTGTGATATACTGTATAGATGTTACATAAAGATTACAAATATGCTCAGGTATGGTGATTTATGCCTTTAATCCTAACCCTTGTCGGGCCGAGGTGGTTGGATCTGTGACTTAGACACCAGTTAGGACCATGCAATGAGACCTGGACTCAAAACTAAAATTGAGTAAGCAAAGAGTGGAGATGACAAATAGAAACTCTGTCTGGGATGACTACTCTCTTGAATGTAGTTCTTGAACATCACCAGTCTATCATGTGAATTCATTTTTCTCATATAAATGATCCTCATAATTATTTGAATGCTTTTATAATGATAAAAGAATCAACTTTTAAATGTCTGCAAGTAAACTTGTTGATTTAAAACTGCAGAGGTTTAATACCTGTAATTTTGGCTGGAGAGGTGACTCAGCTGTCAGGAGCACACACTGCTGTTACAGAGAACTCAAGCTGCACTCAGCGCCTGTGTTGGGCAGACATGGAGAGAACGTGAATCCAGTTTTTTAAAGTAAGCATCTATTTATTTAAAGTTTTTTCTCTTTTTTGAGACAGGGTCTCTTTTCTGTGTGTAGCCTTGAACATCTTCAAACTTGCTTTGTAGACCAGGCTGGCCTTGAACTAACAGAGATCAAACTCCTTTATCTATTAAATGCTGGGTTTAAAGGCTAAAACCACTGCCACCCAGGTTCTTTAAAGGGCTTTTGTTTGTTATTGTTTCTTTTTTGGAGACAGGCTCTCACTATGGAGCCCCAGTCAGCCTGAAACTCACTGTGTAGGCCAGGTTGGTCTCAGACTCACAGAGGTGTCCCCCCCTGAAACTGTGGACAAGCAAATACCAATGACAACCATGATCGGCCATGAACAGACATGGAAGTGCTGTTTGTCGGCGCTGCTGTTAGCCAGCTTCACTGGTTCTCATTTTCCCGAGTATGAAGACAAACAGCCAAGAAGACACAAGGCCTGAGAAGTCATCCCTGCAGAGGAGGGGGATAGCCTGGAACTCACTCCCAAAGCTATGCTTTTCCTCAGCAAAGGAGTCATGGACAAATTCATGTGGAGGTCCGCCTAAACCTAAGGATGCTCAGATAGCAGGTCCACCTCTGGACATGGCCACATTGTAAAAGCAGAGAGGTTTAGGGGCCCTGACTCAGGATGTGCTGAGGCCCCCGATCTCGCCCAACCATGCCCTAATTACTGGGAAGAAACCACCAGCTATCCTCCATGGGGTAAGGAACCAATCAGAAGTTATCTGGCGGGTTCTGGACGTGCTTTAGTGATAATGGTGGAATGTGATAACGAAATCCTCTCCCACGGCCTTCAGGGATAGCATAGGTGCAGCTGACCAATCAGCTCAGGACAGGTTTCACCAGTCTGGACTGCAGCAATACTGAGATTGCTACTATGCAAATAGCAGACCCCCATCAAAGCACCAATACTGAGACTGTTACTATGTAACTATCAGACCTCCCCAAATGCCCCCTTGCTCTACCCCGAATATATGTCCTGCCCTACTACAACTCCGGGTCCCTCCTACTCCACCCGCTGTGTTGGATGGATAGATGACCCGAGTTAACTTATTAAAAGGACTCTTTGCTTTTGCATGGGATCTGGTCTCTTGGTGGTTTGGGGCGGGGGGGGGGCGGCGCTTCAGACTGTGGGCAGAGCAAAGACAATGAAAGCTTTGCAGAGCAATTAAAAGAACTGAGTGTCATTAAATAAAAAAGAAATTAAAATGTAATTTTAGCTTTCACAAAATTTCCAATTTATTGTCTCCTTTTCTTTATTATTCTGATGCATGTGTAAGATTAAATATGCACACTTATCAGTGCAGCCTGCTAACCCTGCTTTTGTAGTTTGCCTGCATTATTTTAGGGCTAACCGCTTTGTTTTATACAATAACCAGGTAGAGAGCTCATGCATGCTGGAGGCAGGAGGAGTCCTTTCTTTAATAGCCAACAGGAGTCTGACCCCCTAGTGACCTAGGCTGCCTGTGCTCTAGACAGGGAACATTGTTGAGAATGGAGAACTTGGTCTGGAGTGACAGCTCAGCAGTTAGGCGCACAAGCTGCTCTCCCAGAGGACCCAGGTTTGATGCCCAGGATGACATGGCAGTTTTCAACCGTGGTGTAACTCCAGTTCCAGGGTATGTGACTACTGACCAGGCCTCCCGGGACACTGAGCTTGTACCTGGCACACAGACCAGTGTAGAGGTAAAGATCACTATAGATGAGACAATCATTTTAGAAAAATAAAAAAGAAAAGTAGAAACAACTCACATCATAAAACACTTTTTATCAGCTGGGCATGGGAGTGCACACCTTCAATCCCAGTGTTTCAGAGACAGAAGCGGGAAACTCTTTGTGAATTCAAGGACACCCTGATCCACATAGTGACAGGACAGCCAGGGTTATGTAGAGATACCATGTACCCAAAACCAAACAAACAAAAACTTATTTTTTAGCAAAATGATACACTTTCCCTCTAGAACTCTGGATGGGAGCCCCACACAAGTGTCCTGTCATATCAAACCTAACAATCAAGATGCTATAATACTGAATCACTACCTGCAGGCCTACATAGAAACCTCTTTTAAAAAGAGGCCCCAACCTGTGGAGGATCCTGCAAGTGTCAATGTGGGCCACGATCCCAGAAGAGTTAAGAATGAAAACCCAGTGTAGATTGACTTATTTTACAAAAGGGGGCATGTGACATTCAAAAATGCACAGCACATTACATAATACCACAAGTCAGGAAGAGCCTACAGTGACTTAGTGTCTGAAGCAAACATGTTACACATAGCCTTGTCTAAGAAACTTGTAATCACACTGCTGTAAGCATTAACTTAGAGTCCAAAATACATTAAACAAAAAAAGACAGACCAACCTGAAATCAGTCTATATGGGCATAAATTTACTATATTTAAACTGGTTTGCATAGATATATAATTGTAAAAATAAGAACGATCAGACCCTGAAAGTTCAAAGCTTCAAAAGTTGACAGAACTGGTGCTGAGGAGATCGATCCAGAAAGGTGAGTGTGTGCCATCCTGGGCGGATCGTCCAAGAAGGGAGCACAGTGCCCCCCCAGCTCCTGCTGCAGGGGCTTCTTTGTTACACACTACCCTGCCTCCCCTAAGCCTGCCCTATTGTCTGCAAGATTCTTGGCCCAGGAACAGTTCCTGCTCCTGCAGAAAGGCAACCCACCCAGAGGGATGAGTGTCTGCTGGCCAGGCAGGCCGG